CAGCCAGCCGGCCGGTATCCTGAGAGGAAGGCAGAGGAGACATGAGGGGAATGGCAGCTACTGTGGAAAATACATTATAGCCGCATTTAACAATAGGTTATTCTCGTCGCTTCATTGTGAATTCACTGCAGTACATTAAGACTTGGCTGCGCTGACGGGGTTGTTAAAGTTCTCTTGCCTGACATAATTCCACCAGAATAGCCTCTTTAAAAACTGCCACCAAGAGATAAACTGTGTTGTCTGTCACACAGGCACTTTTTTCTACATATATTGGTACAGGGAAGATCTGAGATATTGGAATACGTGATCATTTCAAGACTGAACAATAATTACGGCCTTCAAGTGACTTGATGAAATCTCTAAGATGAGGTCACCAACAGCCTCCTCAGTGCTGAAAGCAGTTACAGGATCTTAACTAAATGATCACTCAGCAGACCTGTAACAGATGTGTGTGAAGAAATGATGCTGCTGAGGTGTGATTTTCATTTCAAAACATTTCCTGTATTGGGATGTATGACTCTGATGTGGCTTTTATGGTGGATTAGTCGGTCCATTAGCGGTGAAGACAGAATTCTTTTGGTGAAGTCAACAGTAGGACCTCATGGATGCACATACGTATAGCACTAATATACCACTAGTGGCATCACAGAAATGCCAAATATTGAAACACAACACCACATCTCACTAATTTTAAGGAGTGCAAGTATATTTCTGGCACTGCTGTGAATACAGAAAAGTCAAGTCTGTTCCAGTGTCCAAATACAACATGGCCCAACGTGCACCCAAACACACACACACAGGCGCTGACAGATTGATTTGTGGGAGAGGAAATGATAAATTGTTGATTCTGGCTGTGGGACTATTTAATTAAGATAGAAAGATACTCAAAGGGAAACACTCGGGACTTGTTTGATTAAGACGGATGCAAGGATTATTAAGTCACACAGGGGAGCTGTCAACTAGTTTGGTATGAAAGGTTACGGCGCAAAGTCTGCAGCATCACAGGTTTAACACCTGGCCGGTCGTATGATGGGAGTGTAAGAGCAAGTAGAGGAAGAAGTAAAGGCAGCCAGAGGAAAGGAGGAAGAAAGACTCCAGCTATGTATAGAACAAGTCTTCAAAATAGACCCGTCACTATGGTCAGTTGTTATCATCGCCTGTTGAAAAGCATCTCTGGGGAAGCAGGAGGCAGCCACTGTGGATGCAGTTCCAAGAATGGCACTGTTCCATGAAAAAGTTTTAATTTAGATTAGCTGTGTAGTCATTTCACTGTATTCACTGTATGCCTTTATCTACCAACTGTTGAGCTGCAGAAAAAGTAAACAACTCAATGAAACTACACCAACATTCAAAAACAGACATTTGAAGTGTGCTCCGGGACGTTTCACTGCCGATCGGACCGCCGGGAGATCGATAGTTTGATGTTTTGATGACGGAGAGGACATTTTTGGATGCACAGAAAGCAGTAATTGAAGATTTCACCATGAACAAAAACAAGAGAGAAAGAGAGTTCTATATTGGCCATATTGGCTGCAAACTACAATGAACAAATGAAACAAATAAATAGATTTTCAACTACAAAGTTGATGCACTACATTGCAGACTAATATTTGTACAAGGAGTTTCTGCTTAGTTTGCTCTTGTGTGGTAGCTGGACAGAGGAAGACCGCTATCAAGACTGGCTAACAAGAAACCACAATATAGGTTGTTTGTGAGTGAGACATGCATACATGTTGTTTGCTTACAACAAAAGGAAAGAAAGCCTTATGCATGATAACTGCAGTGTGTTTTTTCTGAACCCCGAATGCTGTCTAAGTAATATTCAGCATCGCCTCAGGGCAGCTTAAAATAGGGGAACAGATCTGAGACCAGCATGTCCCGTAAGTGGGTGTGGTCATGGGAACTGACCTGTGAGATGATGCATCTATTCTTAGAAGCTTAATGCATCTACTCCCCTGGGTTGTTTTCCCTTAAATTATTTTAGCAGTGGATCCTGGAGATGGGGCTTCCAGAAAGGTTTAAATATTGATTCAGTGTGCTGTATACTTCACTGGGAACAGCACTGCAGGCAGGTGTTTTCTGTCTCCACTCTTGGAGGACCTCATTCCTGAAAAGATTCTGATCAATATAATAAGGGAATGAGTTTCCCAAGAAATGCTTTTAATGGGGTTGGCTGGTTTTCTACAAGCTGCTTTCCCTGAAATAATTTCAGCACGACATCCAAATCTATTAGTTTAGCCCACTTTAAATAAGAGCATCAACATCCATGTTAGCCTAAATATGAATGAGACTGGTAGTATCCAACTGTGCATTAAGGTTTATGGAAAACCTACTTAACTAATTCCAGATACGTTCAAGGGGCTGTGAATAAATATATTTGAGGAAACCTTAGCAACCCATCTCTTTACTAAAAACCTTCTCCTCTCCACCTCCATTTATGGGCCGTGACCAAAAGGGAAGTCATGATAAAATGTTTCACTGGCACTTAGAGAAGCAGCACCGTCAATCTCAAAAAAACTCTTTTTCTACACCGTTAAACAAAAAAAAAGAAGTGTGGACAATTTGCATGAACAGCATTTAGCGGGCAGATACCTGAGACAATACATTGGTGGTTACAACTGCTCTGCCCCATGATGCAAAGCGATAACACCGCTGGTACATGGAGTGCCATAAACAAAACTCACAGTATATTCACGTATGTAGAGAGCTTAGCAACTGCAGCTGTTAGGGTAACTGTGGTTTGGCAGTATCGCCGCATTCTCTAATAACCCCGACTCTGTGGTCTCTTCTCAGAACCAACTGTACGGTTAGACTGGCAGCGTGTTTGTGTGTTTCTATTGTGTGTGTGGGTGTGTGTGTGTGTGCGTTTTTCCATATAACGTGTCGGTGATCGGCGGTCAGGAGCGCTGCCCTTCATCATCATAAACTGGCTTTAATAGGGTGGATAAGATTAGGGTTTGGTTTGATACTTGCGTCGAGAAAACTACATCTGTGACGGGTGAGTCATGTGTTACGTAAGATCTAACGGATAAAGTGAAAGAGAGGTGCACGGATAGAAAGAGAGGCGGGGAGTGAAAACAAATAGGAAGTTACGTACAAAGGTATGATAAGAATGAGGGGGACAAGAGAGGCCGAGCCAGATAGATGACCTGTTAACTGACATCATGTGTTTGTGTAATTTAGAGTGTCTGTCATCAGTTCTTCCCGCCTGGACTCTGTATACTGTGTGTATGTGGTTTCACTGCATGTCTGTGCCACCCTAGATGCAGGACATGCATCATCTGTACTCCTTTTTTGCTTCATTTCTGCTGATTTCTCCAGAAATAAGTTCCAATCAGCTGCCATGCTTTGCATATTTGCTGCTTTTTCTTCCAGTGACAAAAGCAATAAAAAGAGTCTTCCACCAAACAGGATGGTGATTTGAATCAGATCGGGTCTTCGCAAGTGTACAAACCACCTGGATAAGCATGAGACATGATGAGAAGGGTCAAATTTTATGAAGGTTTGCGGTCCTTTATTGGCTGCAGTTTGTTTTTATATTATTTATGTTCAACAATGCAACCCATAATGGAACTATGTTACACTGAAATAGAAACGCAAGACTATTTTTTAAATCTATAAACAATAAACATTCATTATATCAGTGCCCAAAACTTACATCAATACTTTACTCGCTAACATTCCTGCCAACATCTTGTAACTTCACACCATATGAACGCCATTGGGATGCAGCAGTAAAGGTCAGAGTGGACTGCTGGTACAATTATGCTTTGCTAACTGCCAGCTTCTCTACAAGAAAGAGAATTAACATCTAATTTCTTTCTTGTTTTTTCAATCGAGCACTTCTTGGAAATTTTGTTGCAATGCTGAATAGTTTCTCAACAGAATCAGTTTTTTCAGGTGTAACAGCTCACAGCTAAACACAAGATAATATACACAGAGTTTTTCACATGTTGTCGCTGTTTTACGTCTTTCTTCTGCTTCTATTTCTGTCTCCTGTCTGTCATTTTTTCTCTCTCTCAGTTTTACAAACAGGATTTTGAGTTCATGCCTGCGCTCCCCAGACACAAATACACACACACATGCAAACACACAAATGTGGTAAAAAAAAAAAAAATTCACATGGCTTCAGTTAGTGGGAAAAGTATCACATCCAAAGTAATAACACAAACATGGCAACCCAAAACGGCCCCAAGGGGGATTGGCACAGGACCTGGCCAGCCATTCATCATCAGACTCATGTTGCCATAAGCCTGCGCGCTGCCAGTTTTAGTGACTTTTGTGTGTGAATATACATGTGTGCGGGTGCGGTGAATAGTCAAGCAGAACAGAACAGAAGCTTGAACAAACGTAGGAAATTATTATCATGTTTCAGGATCACAATAACGTTAAAGAGTGTGTGTGTGTGTGTGTGTGTGTGTGTGTAGCCTCTGATGTGTGAATGAGCAGCAGACTGGGAGGATAATGAGAGGTAATACTAGGAGTAGACACTGAAAAGCAAAGAAACCAAGGGACCATCAAGTTACTTTTTCAAGCACAGCGACCGAAGCCAAGGTTTAAGTGTGCCAGAACTTTGATTGCTGCAGTTTCAATACAGACACTCGAAGTGAAGTGGAATGCAAAGAAAGCGAGAAAAGGTTTCCTGTGTGGTCAATACATGACAGATGGCATATGATTCAGTGGGGCTATCATGGGCGTGGTTGTAGGGGGGGTTTGAGTCGAGGGGACCAGAGGATTGAAGCAAGGTAGTGGAAAGATGGAGAAGTTGATGGGAGGAAGCATAGAAATCAGCCTTTTAAATCACTTAAAAGCCATATGGCATTGCTGGAATGCCATTCTACAGCTGCCCTGAGATGAATGACTGCATGTTCATGTGTGTGGATTTAAAATGTGAGCTTTTATTGCATTGAAGTGTGAAATAAGATGATGTAGAGCGGACCTATTATCATCTGCTCCCATCCGTCAGAGCGGGTCCACATTGGAGAGTGATGAAGTCTTACCCTGGAGATGGTGAGGGGCATGTTGAAGTCCTTTCCTCCCTGCAGCCTGAAGCCCCAGGGGGCAGGGCCTGAGAGAGTGACGCTGTAGTTGCTGCTCATGGTCGCCTCTGCGATATGTTGACCGCCGAATGACGATGCTGACGGCAGGGGAAATATTTCGCAGATCGAGTGATGATGACGACAACGTTACGAGCTTTCGATGACGGACAAGAATTTGGTCAGAAGTGCAGCGGCTCCCGTTAAGATGTTGTTCCAAGATCTGTTGGAAGATATGGAAGAAAAGCATACATTTCATTTGTTTTTGTTTGGTAATATAAGACAAAGGGAGTGAGAGGAAAACATAGAGTGATGGATGTTCAAATTAGGGAACACAAAGGAGGAGAGGGGGGTCAAGAGGACAATACACAGGAAGGCTTGAGAATAAGTAAAAAGAGGAAATATCAAGCGGCTTTAAAATTGCATTATTTTCATTTATACAGCTGGTTGCACACTTAGAAGCAAGTGGAAATACAAGCACACATGCAAAGCAGCACAATAACATTTCATCTTACTATAGGAGCTGCAGTCCAAATGGAAACTCTCACCACAACATCCTTACACAGCTAACATTATTATAATTGCCGCGACTATTTAGTGCTATTATTGTACAAAAGAAAAGTGCTGTACCTCTTCAATGGAAATTCCAGAGAGGAAAATAATTCCTTCAGAGACAGGTAGACAGTGTAATCCCTAGTTTCCCCTGGACTATCCCCTTCCCAGCAAACACACCGTGTGTGTGTGTGAGAGAGGTAGCGAGGGATGCAATGCTCTTATATACTAGTTAATGACAGAGGGGAGGGGAAAGGTGGAGGAGGGGAGAGAGGAAGAGGGAGGCGAGAGGACGAACGGGTAGAGGTTAGGATGGGAGGAGAGAAGGGAGGAGAAAGAGGAGGGGAGTCGCCCGTTGGGTGGAGTGAGCGGAACACAGAAGAGGAGGAGAAATCAAGGAGATAATATGAAGGGTGAGATTAGGGTATGGGAGGAGACAACACTCAGGGAAAAAAAAAATGAGGTGAGGAGGGGGGTAAAGAGGGGAGAAAAAAGGGGGTTGAGGGGGGGGATTAAGGAGAAGAGTGTGGGAGCATTGCACACAGAGAGAGAGAGAAAATGACAAGGGGAGGGAGAGGAGCAAAGGAGAGGGGACGGTTTATCTTTCATCCGGATATTTTGGGAACATGGACTCAGTGCTGCAGCCTGCTTCATTTAAGGTGGAACCAGCCAGAACCAGATCGCGACCCACGAACACATCCCAAAGGCTGCAATTAAAAAGGTCTCTCGGAGGTCACTGCCGGAGGATCAGCTGTAGTAACGGTGGATGTATGAGTTCAAAATCACCTCCAAGTCCTCTGCTTCACCACCACTGCACTCCAACAATAAAACTCGAAGAGAATGTGCTCTATCTCCTACTTCTACTCTCTATCTTTGCTCCAATTTAATCACCGTTCAATCCAAAGTGTGCAAATCGACAATCTTTCCTTGCATGTGACATGTCTCTGCCTTTCCCACTTTAAAATTTCAACAAACAAGCAATAAAGCAGTTAAATCACATAATCGCTGCCATAATCTCGGTGTATTTTGGCAACGAGACGCACATTTTCTTTACTATACACATCCAGACTAGTGCCTAAGTGCAGTACCCTCATTTCCACTTTGTTTATTTACCAGTCCGTCCATTATTTATGTCCAGACAGCTGGCAATTCTTCTCTCTCTCTGCACTGGATTCCCTCCATTCCCCTTTCCGAGCCCAGACAGATCAATATTGACTTTGTATTTATACTGATATAGTAGTCACTCAATAAAACACTCATCCCATTTCTTTCTTGGCCCTGACCACACACACACACACACACACACACATCTTGCCAAGTGATCGCTCTGCACTGTGTTCACCGCTCGGCTATACGGCATCCTCACGAGTCCGCAGCTGTAGGACGATTTCTCAAGAAAGCGCAGCGAATATCAAGAAAGAGATGGAGAACTGAAGTCTGAGAAAGATGTCTGATGTAAGCTTGGAGGAGAGAAAGGTGGTTGAAGAAGGACTGGAGGATCTTTGGAATAGATAGAGAGAGAAAAAGTGCACCAAAAGAGATGTGAAAAGAAGAGGAAAACACAGGGGACAACAAACAGGCGTTGCTCTATTCAGGTAATGAACATTTCCACAGTGTGTCTAACACCGACAGTCTGCTACAGCACAGCCAGGCCGAACAATAGCACAGCAAATCCTGGGAGGAGCAGAGACGGAAGAGTCATTAACCTTGTTTCCGCTGCGGACCTGAAGGGTCTTCGTGGGGTTAGAGCAAACCCAAGTTTTACAGAAAATGTAATTACGAAAGGCACAGTGTTTATAGAAGGCTGCAGCACAGACGGCTCTCCATGCCCGCTGTAAAAACGGACTAAAAGCATCTTTAAATGGGGAGACGACACGAGCCAACCCCGGTTAGCCTGGTTGGATTCTATGGGATGGAACTTCTCTCAGACCTGTCTGCCTCTTTAGGAAACCGAACAAAGCCAGCAGCTTCTGTTTATGTAATTCAAATCACTGCAGGTTGCTGATTATGTACATCGCATCCTGCAACAACGAGGCACAACAACAGTTACCATAACATCCTAACAAGCCTAAAGTCAGGGGCGTCCAAGGTACACAGAGAAACAGGAAATCAGGTGTGGAGGAAAAGAGTCACACAAAGACAAAAGGGGTAAAGGTTGAGGAGATTATATTAAACCTGGCTCCTGCAAGAAGTAACTACACTGCATAACTGGAAAGAGAAGAGTAGATACTGAATGTTAAAGGCAGTAAGTCATCCTCATTTCAAAATAAAGAAAATATTTGTCATTGCTCCTTTAAACCTGCTCATGTGCATTTTTCAATCCACAATTACGGCTGGGTTTGGACGACTTAAACTGTTTAGTTGAGGTACAGAAAAGATCACGGTGATGGTAAACAGATTGTTTGAGGTGTAGCTCTGGATTTGTGAAATAAGGAAAGTAGGTTGTGCTTTAGGAACTTTGTGCTACTTCCTACTTTGACATTGAGGGTAAACTTTTTGAGCAGTGACACTAAGCTAGAAAAGCAACCAGTGTGTCATAGGAACATGTAAAATGCCTCACGAAGGTAAGAATATTCAGCAAGTCACTATACTGACTCATGCTGAGGAATTAGTGCTCATTTGTTCTGCTTAAATCAACTTTAAGTTACATGTTTTTTCTCATAAAACAAAAAAAACTTTCACGTATCATCTACACATTTTACAAATATTGCACAAAAGTTGACCGTTTTAAGCCTGACATTCCCACTGGCGACAGAATGATTAATTCTGAACAACAAATGAACAAAAAAAACTTGTCCCATCACTCTCATGTGACAAAACTCCTAGTTCCGAGTCCCATGAAGATATAATTTCTAATATATGGACCCACCAGTGCGCTTCACTGTTTGAAGACATCTGATCAATTGCTTGCATTGTCACAAACAGCCAATGGCCAAAAACTGTACCAGAGAGAACAAAGGAGATTTGTGGGCCTCAGGATAATGATATCAAACACTAACAATAGAGAGTGTGCAACAGCACGAAACCTCCGACAGTCCTTTGTTCCGTCAAATGCTCTATTCCAGTCCCCATATGCTCACCTCTCCACATGCTTAATGATCACAGCTTAGCGGCCTGCAGCCAAACACACATGCTCACACCAGGACAAGCTCCGCCCCTTAATGGTATGATAATCCGGCCCTCTAAATGACATTTAATGCATCATCCACGTGAATAAAAAGGGGGAGACCCTCCCCTACTCTGCCAGCTGCTCACACTCATATACACACATGTCTGGGGGGACATTTAAAGTCTCTATTGTGGAAAACATTGATATTTCAGGTTAAAACTGAAGAGAACAGCAGTGGTCTGAGAAGTACTGATTCAAAATGTGTATATTTTTTGTTAATTTCATAATGTTGATGATACAGTTTAAACATAATGAGCAGGAACGTAGCTGAAAACTGATATTATTCTGTAAACCTTTCCAGTTGAGTATGGCTTAAAAATGGACAAAAAAAGTCTTTAACTGATTTGGCAATGGAGCTTTGATTAGTATAAAAGAGAAGATTGGAAAATTTTAGTATTTTCCTCCAGCTAGGCTGTTGGACTTGGAGGTAACGGGGAGAATGTCGCCCTAAATAACAAACACTGAGATCACAGACCAACAATAACCGCCGTAATCGCATGAATTACTTCTATATGCAAACATTAATTCAGTCACAGATGTACACATGCTTATCGTGTCTACAGATAAACAGTATTGTTGTTTATATTGGGGGGAGAGTATTTGTCTGCCAGCCATCTAATCAGTCTAACCCTTCCAGACTGGTATAAGCCCAACTAATCCCCTTCACTGTACAGTGAACAAGGCACAGTTAGGGTCAGTGCAGTAGCTTTATCTCTCCCAAGGTCATCACAGTACAGTTAGCAGCATATTTAACTTTAGATATAGCGTTAAAGATTACTTTTTCATAGCTCTGGTCACCCATTTTTGCATGGCCCTCTAATATCACATACAAATCAAAGTTTGTCGTGATTTTTTCTGTGTGATCACCTCGAGGGAAAAGTGAAGCACAAGTTATTGGTGAGATTCACATTTTGTGCCAAAATACTGAAATACAGAGCGCATGCCTGGAATCCAGAGACGAGCTTATTGTCAGAAGCCTGTATCTCCTGTCTGAGCTCGTCACTGTTTATATCTGCTCGCTTCCACAGTGGAAAACATTCCTCCCTGCTTACCAGGCAACCAGACAGACAGAGACAGACGGACAAGCGCGCTGGGAGACAGACGACTCGGCCCAAATGATTGTCCATCCTAAGAAAGATAAACTGAGGAAAATCTGGCTGCAGACATCAACAGACAGGTGCACGCACACACTCAGAACACAATGTACACACAACTGCCTAATGCCTGGGTCAAGTTTGGGTCAATCAAAGAGAAGCGTTTAAAAGCCAAGTGTAATGTCGCCTCAGAGACACAATTTTCAAAGAGACCGTCCACCGCTTAAGAGTTTCGGGGATCAGCTGCTTCTAATCATCCCGTCCACCTCCTGTTTGGAGACAGTGATAAACACTCCAGCCAAAGACCTCTCCTTTTCTGCAGTATCACCCTCAGGCATAAATTTCCATTTCTGCACAATTGATCAAACGGAGCGGGCAAGCGGACGAGCTTTAATGAGCACATTCATGCTCCCCTGAGAATAAACCACAAGCTTGTCTTTAGACAGACGCTGGTAGCCTCATGACTGGAACAAAATCAGGTTTTTTGCTGTGATATCGTTCCTCTGAATTCAAGTGTTACGTCCTCACTCTGCAGCATACTGTGCCTGTCTGTATGGTGTGCTGTTACTGAGAAAATTACACAGTTAAGTTAATCAACAATTACAGTATGACTGCAGGTGCTGGAGAGGTTTTGAATGCAGTGACGCTCGGTGGACACTTTTCTCTAACAATGCGACGCACAAAGGAAATGGAGCAGGTATTTAGAGTTGGAGGACAAACCACAGGAAGACAAGAGACAGTTCCAGGAACATGTTGGAAAACAAAAAGCAAATACAAAACCTTTGGAAAAACATTTATCTTTATGTTTTTGGAGTTTCCAGG